CTCTCTCACACACACACACACACACACACACACACACACACACACACACACACACACCACACACACACACGCACACGCACACGCACACGCACACGCACACACACACATACACACACACTTAATAAAGTACATGTTTATTTGCTTCATGAAATCTGCTTGGATACAGTTCACTGCCTTTCATAATTATTCAGTAAATTAATGTTGGCTGCTCAGTATTGGAGTAATACATTTATAACAATGAGTTTTTTTTTTTTAATTGCCCCTGATACAAGAAACCTGCCAATAGAATCATGACTGGAAAATAAATCTGACAAATAAATAAGAAGAAATAATTTAAATATGTTTAATGAAGTCAGTTTTATAAAAATAGCAATAATAAAATAAGCGTTAAGCTTGAACTCTGAATGAACCTCAGGGGCTCTTTAAACTTAAACTTAATGTGCATTACAATGTATCAATACAATTTGAAAATATGAATGAATGAATATGAATATGGTTGAGCCACTGAGACCCAAAGGGGTATACAGAACGCATCTGAATGGTTAGGGACATTCTGTCTACAAACAGTTCAAGCACATACACAGCATACACTTCTGACTTTAAGGATGATTGTAACAGCTGTTTTAAAGCTGCATTTTCCACTATGAATGTGTCATTGAAAACCAAACAACAACATAAATAGAGCTCCTCATCAACATGCACAAATGAGTGTTTTATTATCATAATGGCCCCACATACCAAAACGTTGATTAATCACACAGGCATGCAGAGTAAGTAAAGCAGAGTGCTGATACAGTGTAAAATGGAACTGATGGCAGTCTGCTGAACTCCACTCTATTACTGCTCAGGGCTCTTTAGCTCAGCTCTGTGGAGACAGACATTAGGGTTGGTTTAACAGCCAGGGCTGGCTGATGAAAGTGTTGCCAAATTAGAGTCTGATCTCAAGGTGAAATGCAGAGATAGATCTGAAAGCCATTGCACATCATTTGTTATTGTCTGACACTAATCCAAAATTAGCATTTCACTTGGCTTCATTATTCAGTCAAAGTACTATCCCTGGAGTCGTTTTTTTATTGATATCAAAACAGAGGGCATTGATCCAATTGGATTTAACAGTGATGAAAGTGTTGCCGAACCCCAGACTGAACTCAAGGTGAAACGCAGAGATTCAAAATTACAGCTGCAGGATGAAATCCTCTATCTCCCAAAAGTCAACTGTTCAGGAACTTGCTGATTGATGCATGTGTTTTTTTAAGGTATGCCATCCTTTGAATTTATGAGCACTGGGGTCATAAAGTCTATTAAACGCAGAAAGCAACTTAGAAACTTTCAATCTAATTAATGAACACAAATTGGATTTCCATTTGATAAGAACATTACAAACAAATGCTTATTTACAGCCTCCTCCATGTCATTCACCCTCCTTGGAGAGGACTTTATTTATACCGAGGGATGACATTGCTATTTCAACTAGAGTGTCTCAGCCGAGGAACAATAATGCGTGGTTTCCAAAGTTTCATATAATGAGCACAATGTCTTGAAATGCTAATATATGCTCCTAAATGAGAAATACGAGAAAATGTGTTTCTCTCCTACAGCTGAAAGATAAACCTGAGACACATCCAAAAATAGTGAAAAACTTAAACTGAACTTGTATGTAGTTATTTTAGGGAATAGGCCAATGCTTTTGCTATTTTTCCTGTATTAATCAAGTCACAGTTTAATTTGTGCCATATAAATTGCGAATAAGTCTTAGTACAACTTGTTTTTTAATTATTTTTTAAATACTGTATTAATGAGCCATTTTGAAATTGGCATGCCTACCTACAAGCCTAACACAGCGGCAGAGAACCACAGGAGGCCGATGAAACAGATGGACGGCACATGAACTGAGGTGAGAGTCAGGTTACAATGGGTCTCAAAAGAAATATAAATCAGGGAATGGGGAGCATTTCACTTTTTGCATTACATTTAGTATAAATCAGATTGTATTGATCTCTTTTACTGTTATTTTGTTTTAAAAGACTCATTGTTGCAAACTTCTGTACACAATATTGATTGTATCCTGGATCAGCAATGTCTAAGTCTGAATATTCTTTTGTGAACCCAAAATATATTTATGAGCACAATATATAAACCATGGATATGAATTATACTGTTGGTAAAATGTTAAATATTATAACTTTAAGTTTTGAGTTAATTTTTCAATAACCATTTGTTTGGGAAAATAAGAGTGATATTGATTTGTATTTCATAGATGCTCACTCCATGACTGTATCTGTGTTCATGGAGATGATCTGGACAAAATTTTTAGCACCACTTTTAACTTTGCAGAATGTTTTCATTTCAGTATCATAGGGCCTAGAATGTGTGTCACCATATGTGTCCATGCATCCAGAAATCAGCTGTGTGTGTATGTGTTTTTGTAGGGGCTGTATGTGTGTGTGTGTGTGTGTGTGTGTGTGTGTGTGTGTGTGTGTGTGTGTGTGTGTGTGTGTGTGTTGGTGTGTGTGTGTGTGTGTGTGTGCTTAGGTGTGTGCCATAGCGACAAAGAATGCATGATTGCACACTTTCTGTGGTTGAGTTCCTTTCTTCAATGCGTGAGGGGAACAGTGTGTGCGCTCTCATACCTTTTTGATGGTATCCAGCATGCTCTTGCCACCCTGCCAAGGTTTGGTGTTCTTCCTGATGCAACTCAGACTGGCCATGCTGTGCCACTTCCTGTCCTCCAGCTTTCTGTGGAAGGTGTTGGCCAGCAGCAACACACTATCATAAATATAGCGGTTGGTGATCTATTGAAAAATAAATGACAGAGATATAAAAAAAATGTAAAATTGTAAATAAATTGTGATAGAATAAATGCAGACATTTTGCTTTTAGTGTTTCAATTTGGTTTTCACACTAATGTTCCCATTCATTCCTGAACAGGTTTAAAAAAACAATAACTTCAAAGGCAGATGTTACATTAGATAGTTGTTATAAACCAACAACTACATTTAGTGAGGTGGTTTTGCATGTACATAAGGAATAATGCAACCAAATGTAACACATCTGGCTTTTATGATTTAGGACTATTCTGCTTCTTAAGAATTAAAAACCGTTGGGAAATATTTTAAACAGCTGGTGTCCAAACTCAAACATTGAATTTTATTCCAGGCTATTAGATACTTTCAGTACACGTAGAGTACACTATATGTCTGAGCGGTGTCTGGCTTGTTCAGTCTATCAATCTCCTTCCAGCATGCTTTTCTGAAATGCATGGAAACCAAGTGGGAACGTGGCAATGTCAAGTTACACTTAAAACATTTATATAAGAGATGATAAGATGACAGAATACTCCTTGTTAAATGTCAAATAGTTTTCTGACAGACAGGACGAAAGGGAAACGAGAAAGGGGAAACTTTTTTCACACTTTCTTTAGAAGTCGCCTTGCTCTCACAGTTTTGTAGTAGTGTTTCACTTTCTGTCTTTGTCCGTCTATCATTCCATCTCACTGTCTCAGAAAATTAAAGTGAAAATCTGCTGCACTGTTGGGAGCTTCAATGATCAGTGGGCTCTGCACTCAGTATGTGTGTGTGTGTGTGTGTGTGTGTGTGTGTGTGTGTGTGTGTGTGTGTGTGTGTGTGTGTGTGTGTGTGTGTGTGTGTGTGTGTGTGTGTGTGTGTGTGTGTGTGTGTGTGTGTGTCTGTGTGTGTCTGTGTGTGGTCAGCCTCAGTTGATGTGCTTCAGTGCAGTGTGAAATTGGTCTTCTGAGCCATTCTCTGACTGCTGATCTGCTTTCTCTCTCTCTCTCTCTCTCTCTCTCTCTCTCTCTCTCTCTCTCTATATATATATATATATATATATATTTGTCTGTCTTTCTCTTCCATACCTTTTTCAAATTTTACCACTCACATATCCACCACCTACACAATCATTC